AGTGGGGAGAAGGGTAGATCAAGGTCATTAAACAACATAGATAGCAATATATCTATAACATTGAAAATAACCAGCAGGAAAAGACAGACATTCCTTTGGATCTGAGTTGCTTCTTGAGCATTGCGCATTAAAAAAAGCTGAACAGTTCGGAAGTTCACCATAACCCCATTTTTCACTCTTTTGTGAAGTGCTTCAGAGATACTTAGAAAGGTAACCTGATGAAATGCATTACTGCTGATTGAGTCAGCAGGTTTATTACTGAGTTTCATTAGTAAATTCCTCTCAATATTTAGCAACCACAGCATCTTTGAAGGAGGAAAGGACCAGCTTGTCTAAAATCAAATCCTTCCTAAGCAACAGCTGGCAGAAATATAAGGCCAAACACTTCAGCTGGTATTAGAGAAAAGCAGCAGAAAACCAACCTTCAGCTAGAACTAATATTATGTAGAGCAGGTTATGACCTCAATTGGTTTCTCCATTTCTGCACCAATGGGAGACAGCACATAGCATTCGCTTTCTTCATGGGGGAGTGGAGACTAGAGACAATGCTAACAAATTTAATAACCAGTATTTGGGCCATTTGAATCACAGAATCCACGAGGAAGATATAACAGAGCTGGAAAAGTTCCAGGGAAAAGCAACTAAGATGATCAAGGGGAAAGCTTATCTTTCATCCAAGGACAGCCTAAAAGACTAAAAAGGATTAGAATTTCTCAGACTGGGAAAATGAAAATTAAAAGCATTAGTGGGAGATGTGAGATTAAAGTCGACTGTGGGTAAATATAAATGTATCCAATGAATTCCAAAACATTTAATTGGGTCCATTCTTTGAGATTAAAGGATGCGGATTCAAGAGAAATTAAACATGCTTTTATTTATATAGATGTCAGTACATTTATGGAACTTATTATTCCTAAGACAAGGCCAAGGTTGGGAATGGGGAAAGTTTAAGACACTCCTGGATAAACTCACTGCCAACTGATTTACAATGCATCATTAAGATATGGTCATCACTCATCCTAATTCTTTAAATGAAAATTACCAGGCTAACTGACAAAACAACTATTCATGCCTTCATCTGGGACAGAGTTCTGGGCTAGTTGCTCTGTTGATCTGACCCAATGTGATATTTCTTATGCTCCTATTATTACATCGATGCTACAACATCCTGTATGCAAGTTTGGGATTCCTAATTTTTTTTGACAGTCCAGAACACAGAAGAATAATTTTCTAACTCATTAAGAAAGCAAGAGAGTCCCAGCTCTTGGCTCTGTTTGGTTTACCCATATGGGAGTATGCAACATAAAAAAGGTGAAAGAAATTCTAACAGAATGCAGCAGCTGGTTAAAGGCTATTATATTGAAATTTTCATGAGTTTGACAGTAGGCCAAAAAACTACAAAATGGCAGAGAGTAGAAAAGGCACTTGTAACAGGTTGAACATTGCTGGTGATTACTTTTTCAGTGGCAATGAAAGCTGTAATCAAATAACCTGAAAGAGACACTGGCAGGATTAAGAGAGCCCCAAGGGAGAGGAAATATGATAACTGTAACAATGATGTATGCTATGGACTAATAAACTAGACAAACATGTAGTCTGAAGTATCAAAATCAAGTTCTTAGCATCGTATGAAAAGCTGGTGTCAGGATGCAGGCATAAACACTGCCTGATTTGCAATTGATAGCAAAAGAGGTTGTTAATGACTTAAAACCTCAAGAATGAAGCACAACTCAACAACCAACTAGGAATTGTGCTATTGGTATAGAAACCTCTTGTTATTTAAATGATCACCTTATCCCACCATCGAAAAGGAAAAGTTATAAAGCACTAAAGAAATAGCCAGAGAAGATACCTGGTTTTGGAGCTGGGAATGTGAGGCAAAAACTCTTGAAGGGAAGTCAAGACAAACAAGGGAAGAAAGAGAAATAGTGGAGACTGGCTGAAGCAATGTCATTATAAACTTATTTTAATTGTTATTTTTGGACCAATAAGGCATCTCAGATTACGAATGTCATTTGCCATGTGTGAAGTCCACTGAACCTTGTATATCAAAGTAATTTGCTGTAAATAGAATGTTTTAGACAATAGTAATGAGTAATAATAAAGCACAAGTGACATTAATAATTGTTATTATTGAAAATGTACTTTTTATAAACATGTTTCCTTCCTATATTGCAGTTTAACATTAGAGATTTATATTCGAGAAACTGTATAATCCCTAATTTCAAATAGATTACAGTTGTAGAGAGAATTGTTCTCCATAAAGTTTCAGGATATCATTGAGAAATTACGTAATTCTTCATTCCAGGAACTGATCACTTGAGAGGATTTTAAGGTCTCCACACTCACCTTTCTACTAATTTTTCCTGCCTATTTTTCTATGTCTCTTATCATTGAGCCAGGGAGAATAATAATACTGAATAATACACCAAGATTTGAGTTCTTTAAAGAGGTACCTGGAGAAATTGGAGTGGGTTGAGAGGGGATATCTGAAGCTAATTAAACAGTGAAAAAATAAAAATCTTACAGTTTTTTTAAAAAATAAAAGTCTATATTTTGTTAATCATTAAAACAATGAATTTTAAAAATAAAGATAAAATTCTTGAACAAAAGCTGAGATCCTAGGCTTTTGAGTTTGAACAGGACCATCGAATGAGTCACACACAGTGATTCTTAGAGCTAAAAAGGAACTTAGATATCATCTAGTCCAATTCCTTATTTTATAATTGAGAAACCGAGGTTTATATAGGTTAAGTGACTTGCCCAAGGCCACGCAATCAACTAATGGCCGAGCCAGGACTAGAATTCAAATTTTCTTATTTGCAGGTCTGTGCCCTTACCATGATCTTCAAGTACACAAGGAAGCAATGGACCAATAGGATAGGATATGTAGTGTAGATGGTCTCTAATTTTACTGAGGAGCAGCTAGAGACTAATTTGTGGGAGGAATTACAGCTTTTCTGGAATTTGTCTCCTTTAATTTTTTGGACTGAATTAAGTTCCACTTCCCCACAGCAACATACTGAGATCTCTTGTAGTAGATATATCATCAGGCGGGAGAAGGTAAATACTTAGGAAAATAACAGTGGGACTGGAGCGACCTTAGGAATCCCTGCAAAACCCCTAGTGAGCCCCAAACAGGTAGCAATTTGAAGAATACAGGCTTAAAGGTGTTTTGGATTCTCAGGTGGTCCTAAAGCCTCATCCACAAAAGGAGAAAGATAGTCTATTTCAGCTTATAAGAGAATTGAATAAAAGTGAAAGCTTTATAAATGGCTTGAAGAAGTAGCAGGTCTCAAACAGCTTACTCAGAAGTGAAACTTATAGTGATGAAAACACTGATGTAAAAAATTACTGTGAAGAGTTTGAATAAAATGGTTCCACAAAATATATAGTAGATGTAAAGCAATATGGTGCAAGTCTTAATCAATATATTATTTAATAAAACATGTCATTTACTGAAATAAGCAAAGCACAGAGGGAACAATACCGCATGTACTCACTGATAAGTGGGAGCTAAGAGAGAAAGAAGGAAGGAAAGACAGATCACAGTGGTGCGTTGGACTTGAGAGCAGACCTAGGGATACAAAGTGGAGTGGAGAGAAGGGGGATGGGAGGGTGGTCGGGGATAATTGGGTGGGGGAGGTGGGGTATAATTGCAATTTGTGGTAATGGGCATGCTGCCAGTGTGGATCTGGCCATCACATCTTGGGCACGAGTGGTGACAATCAGCTTTGTACCCCATGAATATTCATAATCAATAAAAAAAAATGGGTATTCAAAATGTGTAATTTAGAGTGACTAAATTAATGAGTTAAATACAACAAAAATAATAAAACAAAATTAAAAAAAACTAAAAAATGAAAAAGTAGGATCGAAGCATATTAAAGAAAAAATTTTAAAGTCTGGAAAAATTTAAGGAGACAAAGGATAAATAAACCATTACCTAAAAAAAAATGTGTCTCTTCTTTAAGAGCCAAAGAGTCCCTTTGTCTCTATTCTTCTGAGTTAACAAAATAGAAGCATGAAATCAAATTTCTTGAGAACTGTAGTAATGAAGATCTAGTACTGCTGTTATTGCTTTAGAACTGAATTATGAAGAATTGATGGGCAGTGGAAGAATAAAAACAGACTTGATGAAAGATGGCAGGCTGAAAAAATGGGAAAACATTTAATATTTCTAGTCAGAGTTACGGCAGCAGTTAAGTTCAAAGACTTCAGTTGGTATTGAAGACTATTTTATGATCCCGATTAATTTTAATTATTGTTGGAGTAGGTAATTTAAACTTAAATTTCAGTTAGACTCTATTGCACAATTGATGAGAGACTGTTAAGGCATCATGATAACTCAATATCCTCTCTCCTCTTCCATGTCAATCTAATGTATTGTAATTTATATTTCATGTAACATCCTTCAGGAGGTGCTTCCAAGTACCTGTATTCCTTTGACTGGCACAAATGGGCCAAGAAAACGGTATCATTCTGTTGTTAGGTGACAAATAGTGAGTGCTATGTATCTAGAATGAATAACTCAGTTCCATAAATCCGGGACTGCTGCTGTCTGTGTTTTGGATGCATAAAGCATTCATTTACCTAAAACAGTTTGAGTACACATAGCTGCAGAAATCTTACATCTTTGAAGAAGAAATGTGGGAAAATCCCTAAATAAATGAAATTGGTCTTGCAAATATTTGCTCCCACTAAAATTAATATTATCTGGAGCTTTTCGCTCTAGTGTGAAAAATCTGCCCCACCCCCCCAATCCCAAAGTGTACTGTATGTAAATGCATTAAATACATTTTTCTTAAAAGCAGTTCCCTATTGCATCAGCAAACTTACAGTGGGAGTTTCAGCATGAGTCTACTATCCAAGCATCTTTGGGGAAGAAAGAAATAGGTATTGTAGGCCAGGCTAACGTATTTTAAAAATAAATTCATTTGTGAATATGCGGATTAGCCACAATAAATGCTCCTTTAAGAAATGTGATTCTTCCAACTTACTTGATATAGTAGGGCACTTTGTTTGGCGAGATGGCTCTCTCCCAGGGACCCTGGACAGAAGCTAAAAAAAAAAAAAAAAAAAAAAAAAAGGCAAGGAGGTCAAACAAATATACCGCAAACAAGAAAGACAACATTAATCTCTAGAATTACAATTTTACACTGATATTGGTCTGTTTGCTCAGTTGCCCATGAAGACAGGATGGATTAACCCGCTGTTCTGAAATTTCTGTCCTAATCTAAGTGAAATTGAACTCATTCAGGCACAAAGATAAATGCAAAGGGAAAAAAAAAGCCTTTCCACTGCTAAACCTATAGAACAGATAAGAAGCTGAATGAGCGACTGACGGGTTTTCTCTTATGTGTCTCCATCGGGTGCTTTTCTTATAACACTTCCTGTTGCTACTTCTCAATATCTTTTATTATTTGATTGACTGGGTTTTATTAGTTTAGCAACTTAAACATCCCTCTGTGATATATTTACATTCTAAGTTATTGAAGCTAAGGTACTATGCTTATCACTCCGGTATGCTTGTTTTCTCTTTATTTTTCTTCATTCACTTTGATTTAAAGAGAATCCAAAATCATTTACCAATTATTGGTAAATTGGTGCTTTAAAATGTCAGCTAACCAGCATGATCTTATTAGAAAAGGTAACCAAAAGTGAGAGAATGGCACCTGATATCAGAGTATAATAAAACTTTAGTGATGAGTGATGACTCCTATAGGTAAAATTTAATTTCACACACTTGGAATTCATTTTATAATGACTTTATTGTGTATTAGTCAAATCAATCATCTTTCAACTGTTTTTAAAATGCTTAAGTGGTAGGGGTTTTTCCCCCCTAAAGCTGAACCTCTAAAAATACCTTTTATAATTGGTAAAAGGACACGAAAATCAACCACATTGTATATTGATAAATTAAAATAAAAAACAAATATTAAAAAACAAATCAACAAAAATAAATAAATAAAAATGCCTTTTATATACTGTTTGACCTGATTATTTTTTCTTTCTTTAAGACAAAATAATAATGTTTAGGAGGCACTATAACATTTCCTGAACAATAAAATCTTCCTCCTGAACATAATTTTAAGTCACTGAAGTTTTAAGAAACATAGAATATCGTCAGAAAAAGACATATAAGAAGCATTCTTATTAACACCTAGCAATTTATGCACATGTACTTTTTTTTCTGAATTTTCATCCTGCTGATAATTTGAAGCACAGCTGATGCTGACCATTATTTCCTCCTATGAAAAGCTCCCTTCTAAATTAGTCTTACAGTAAATTCACCCTGCAGTGTATTGAGATGTAAGAAAACGTCAAAGCTAATATATCCTTGACTACACTGTATGATATGAAAGAACAGCTTCTAATAAAAGTTAACTCTACCCACTGCCAGACAATTTAAGGGTAATGAAACTCCAGCTTCTTTGTTTTATATAGAGTAATAGAGGGATCAAATCACCCAACCTTTAACCAGACATGTTGCTTTGTACCTTGGAGATATACCATTTAAATGATATAGGACATGGATTTGTATTTAGCTGCTAATTATGCTTTTTTCATTTTGGCAGACAGAAATTTTTAATACGGAGAAGAAAGACATTTAGCTGCTGTTCTGGAGTCCCTCACCTTCAGTTTCTCTGTGTCTTTCTCTATTCCTTTCTTCTTCTTTCCCCCGCCTTCCTTTCTACCCTTTCCATCCTTGCCTTTCTCATTGTCTGTCTCTTTTTTTCCTTCTTCTCTGGAATACAGCTCTCCTATCCAGATTAGTTCCCAGAGTAAGTAAAACCTGATTTAAAGAACTTGGGCTGGGCTCCCTGACCTACCTGGTCAGTCCGATGTTATGAAAATCTAAAAACCAAAGCCCTCACTAGCAGGAAACATGATGGAGAGCCAGAAATCATAGCTCCTGGCTGCTCAAGCACACCCTCTTCTTAAAATCACAGTGTCATAAAAGAAAGAGGAGAACTGCAGAGAGCGTTTGGTCCAGCCCTCACTGGCTGTGCATGCCAAGCCTGTGAATGCCTAAACTGAGAAAAGAATAGCTATTTTTTTCTTAAGGGTCTCTATGGACTGAGACCTCACAATTTCTCTCATTATCCCTTTCCAGTTCTTTATCATTCTAATGGTCCAGAAGTTCTTTCTGATCTGGAGGATGCTGGATATGTCCTCTGGTAGCAGAAGAGTCAGTTTGAATTCCTACACTCTTCCTAGGTATCTCTCTCAGAGAGAAGTGTGCTGGAGAGGTCTTCTGACTGTCTGGCCTGGCTTAGGAGCTTTCTACCTGAAAGAAACAATCTTCAACTAGGTAATTTAGCAAGAGACAGAGAAAAATCGGTGGTGCAGGCTGAGCTCACGGCAAGACCCACATAGAGTATTGATAGTTGACTTTGCATTGTTAAACATTGAAAGGAAAAAGAATCCTAAGTAAATGCCAGGGGAGTGATCAGAATATGCTTGAACTGAATGGTGGAAAAGATTTAAAAAGAATTTTTCAAAAAATTGTAAGTTCCAGATCAAGATAAAATTTTAAGCTTTTGTAATTGGAGTTCTTAATTGTTAATTTTTCCCTTACAATAATAATAAAAAAAGCCTTCGGTTTTTATGTGTAGGTCCAATGGCGAGATTCAGTGCATTTTTTCCCCTGAAAGATGTTTTGTCCTCTTTGACTCACAGTTTATAAATTCACCTAAGCAACTGCTTTGCAGTCATCATCTGAAACCCTGAAATTTTATACTCAAAAATGTCCTTGATGCAATAAAAAAAGGAAAATAACCACAGCCTCCCCCCATTCCTTCCCTCTCCCATCACCAACCACACACACACACTGGAACTACTTGCTTTAGAAATCACACACAATTGGAGGATGGTTCTATGGGACTGGATTCGGTGCTCCTTCTCAAGAGATTGTTAAAGGGTTGTTGGCAATTTCATTTGGGGCTGCTAGATGATTCTGGTCTTGCATCTATTCACAAGTTGATCAAATACATGGTAACTCTCAGAAGTGTGTCTCAGAATTATCATTTCATTTTTTGCGGTAGTGCCGCCGCCAACAACAGCTGTTTCTTATCTCAGTGTACCAGTGCAAGCTTGTCATACTTCACAAAGCTAGCCTACGTAACTGACACACACATCTTTTATGCCTGATGTGTCCATTTTTAGTAGCCCATCAAAAGCAGATTTATTGGCAAACAGTTTTTATATGACACTGGGCTGTCCTTTGGAATTTTCTTATACAGATGTTTCTGTAACCACTACATTTAATTCCAATGCAGCTTTGTGATTCAGATTCTCAAGTGTAAAAATCACCTATTATCAGACGGCACCAGCACCACGGGGTATATTGTCTACTGAATTTAAATAGCAAACTACACGTGAGTTTATTTATTCCAAAGCCAATCTCTGAATTTCCCCTTGCATTACATTTGCGGTATGTTATTAAGAGCAAGAAAGGGTAGCAATTCTACCTTCAAATGCTTTTCCTCCCTTGAGGTGACAGGATTCAATATTGTGCCCAAGGTGGTTATGAAAAATCACAAACACAGGCCACAGTATTTAGGGGAAATTCTTATTTCAACCATTTTTTAATGCACGATGAACAGAATGTGCCAAGTGATGCACCCTGGTGTTAAGCTGTATTTTATTCGACACAGAGGCCTAACCAGAAAATTAAAAAGAATGCTAATGTTATTTAAACCATGCCAAAATAGCACTCTCTGGAATTCTGACCCAAGTACATTCATTAATCTTTCTACTTTTCTCGTATTTAGTGGATTTGGAGTTTGATAACATAGTTAGGTCAGAAAAAGTGGGGGCAGGTTAGAAAAAACTAGATAATATAACGTTCATTGGAGATAAAATGGAAAACTCACCTCTGGGGTTAAGAAAAAGGCATTGGGGAAGATCTGCTAGCCATTGGCACTTGGCTCCTCAGAAGTATGTGAATTCTAGTAATGGTCTTATGGACCCATTCTCTTGGTGCAATCAGTTTCTTATCTTTTATTCCACTATCTCCCCCTGCCCCCTAGTATCCAAGGCCCTTTACATCCTGACTTCCCCTCACCTTTTCCTCGCAGTCCTTTCTGACATGACCCCAGTGCTTCTCTCCTTGTCTGTGCTTTCAGACCCCTGTGCTCAGTGGCAGAGAGAGTTGCCCGTATTATGCCCAATCTCTTCTTCTTTAGTAACAGAATTTCTAACCATTGGTCGCAGCTAGGGTCCCAAGGCCTATGAGGATATTTGGGTGAGGCTTCTGGAGGTTTTTTAAAGGTGGCTGGCTAAATCGAGAGGCAGCTTTTAGCCATTTCACATTCCCCTTCCTCCTGCTGGGGACACAGATGTAATGATGGTTGGAGCTGTAGTAACCAGAGGAATAGAAGCTGTCTAGGTTGCAGTCCCCTAAAGTAGATGCTGAGACAAGGATGTGAGTGCAAGTAGTTGGGGTGGTGATACAAGGAAGCACTGGAAGAGGGGTTGGGAAGGGAAGAAAGCTGATAAAGGATGCATTACTGCTTTGGTCACCTGGGCTTGGGGAAGCTGGGGGCTTCAGTGTAGAATACACTTTAGAGTTATCCGACCCAAGGGTTATTTATCTACTACTGCTTAAGGGCTATCCCTGGAGTATGGGGTAGGGGTGGTCATTAACTCCCTGGCATCTCTGGCCTGCCCCTTGGGCATATGAGCAGGCTGCAATGGCCAGAGAAGGTCTTACAGGCAAGTCGCAGTTGTTTGTAGTTGGAAGCCTAGGTTTGGTATGCCTGGGCATGGTGAATGCCAGAGGGCTCTGACAACTTGGGATACAGAAGCCACACACTAAGAGTGACTGAGAAGAAAGATATCAGATGCGTGGGTTCCTGATGAACATGAGTTAGCATTCCAGCTTATCTCTGAATTTCTATATGAGAAACTTATAAACCCTTATTTTGTTCGTCACTGTCGTTTGCTTCTAAATGAACCACCCCTGCCCTACCCCCACCTACTCAAACCATCTATGGCTGCTCACATTATTCCTGGCTCCACTTGGGTACCAACTCTTACATCTTGCCTTTCTTCTT